GAGATAGTAAAGATACAAGGGAATGAATAGCCCAAGAATACAATGAGATGGGACATAAAATAGAAAAGATCTGATGAATCCTTCTAGATCGCTAACCCTACAATAATGTAGTATAATCTAATAGTCTTGCTCTTCTTTCTACTCCAAAGAGATAATAAAAAATTACAAGTAAAAGATTTGGCTTCATACGCTGTTGATCACCAGCCACCAGAAAGGGAGAATTGGTTTGACCAGCAACCAACAAAGGAAACTCAATTGAGTAGAAATCGTTCGGATCACCAGTTTGACCAGTCACCGAAAAGGAGATCCGGTTTAGCGCCATCTTTTTCTTAGAGTGGGGCGGTGGTTTAGATGGAGTACGAGTAATTGAAACTTCAGAAGAACTAGGTTGAACCTGTCTTTCCAACAGAATGGGGTAGTTGAAAGAAGAAACAAGACTCTAGTTAAAGCCGCATGCACAATGCTAATACAATCAAAACTTCCTCACTTCGTGAGGGCGGATGGTATCAATACTGTGTGCTTCACTCAGAACAAAACAACAATCCACAAGCGCTTCGACAACACTCTCTAAACATTGCAGGAGAAGAGAAAAACACACGCTCACCTGAAATGGACATAATTCTCGGCCATAGAAGAAGTCGGACCAAAACCCAAATCCTAAAGATTTGTTCAGAGAGCGTCGCCATCATAAAAAAGATAGTTGCCCATCGAAAAACAGAAAAGCCAGAAAATAAGATTTGTTCAGAGAGCGTCGCCATCATCAAAAAGATAGTTGCCCATCGAAAAACAGAAAAGCCAGAAAATAAGATTTGAGTGTCACTACATGATACTGATGTATTTGTGTTAGAAAATAGTGACACTTCTGTGTTACTAGTGGCATTATTTCAGAAAGTGTCACTATCAAAGTGTCCCTCACTATAAGCCAGTTTTCTACTAGTGGCTGACTCTAGTCCTCAAGTCTTATTCATTGTTAAGCATCCAAGTTATCTATCATTATTCTGTTAATTTATGAGCTAACAGGTAATTATTATATGTAACTTAGATTACAATAACTATTTTTTTTGAAAGTAGAAATGCTTATATTAAAATCATAAAATCAACCAACCATACATCATGTTTGTCATCTATCCTCACCCTCCATCTAGACTAATTGTAACCAATAAGGATGTTTTCTTTTGGACTGTTTTCAGTCCTAGACCAGACCAGACCAGACCAGATCAGACCAGACCAGACCAGACTTGACTTCCGTAGTTATAAAATACACAGAGACCAGACGTTTACCAGACCAGACCAGACCAGATCAGCAAATTTCATTCTAAAAGAAAACATCCTAAGTCCTCTCACTCCATAATCAGATATAAAATAGACTGCCCAAAGATGAGCAAGACTAATCACTGAACATGCAAGAGATTCAAAGCGAGTATTGGTCAGATTAACCCGATTGCTTCTATGGATCATTGTGCTTACTGCTACACTAAACGCAATCAGTGATAGTGTAACACGTCTTCGCCCGTTTATAGAATAGGCAAAACATCACGTTTTGATTGCATCGGCAGGTTGGCAGACTGCTGGCACCGTATACCCGCAATCTCCCTTCCAACACCTGCCAGCCTACAATTGAGCAGCATGCTGTTGCCGGGGGTCAAACTCATGACCTTTGGCTATGATACAACTTGTGACATGTAATAGGCAAACATTGCTTCTCTCCTTAATGCATCTGATATGGTTTGGACTCTACTTCTGATTTGTCCCATCACTTGATTAAGTGGGTGATCCCTTAATCAGGTCAAGTTTGGCTCAGTCAAAGGTTGTATGGGCCGATCTGGTTCTTCATCTTCCGAGTCATCATCTTCGTATTTGTTTCCAAAAACTGGATTGATGACTGGTGTTGGCCAAATGAAGTTGTTCTTGACCACTTATGATCTTGGTTCTTCAGCTCGTTTCTCATCGAAGTTGATTTTGATTCATGGTCACTGTGACTTCTTCAACGGAAGTGTGATCATCAAACTTTGCATGAATAGATTCTTCTATCAGCAGAGATCTTTAGTTGAGAACTCTGTAGTCCTTGCTTATGTAAGAATATCCCATGATAATTTCTTCATATGCTTTTTCTTATAAGACTTTGAGATGAACTATCCCATTGTTAAGGATGTAGCACTTGCATCCAAAAATGTGAAAGTAACTTATATTTGGTTTTCTCTCTTTCCACAGTTCATAGGGAGTCTTCTAGTGCACTTTGTGAATGATGCTTCTGTTATGAGTGTAACGGGCAATATTGATTGTTTTTGTATAGTACCTCATTGGAAGTCCTGATTTTGCAATCATGGTTCTGACACCTTCCATAAATGTTTTATTCATTCTTTCTGCAACACCATTCCGTTGAGATGTTTAGGCCGCAGAAAGTTGATGTTGAGTGCCATCCAAAACAGATATTCTGCCTTCAAGGAAAGAAATAGTAGGTTAACGGCTGAACTCTCTGATTTGAACAAGGAAAGTGAAACTCAATTGGAGTTGTCACTATAGATAGAGATCAACTGAAAGCTGAAAATGTTCTTCTTCTCAATAGAATAAGAGAAATCGAATCTCTTGATTTAAACTACCAGACTTTCCAAAAAGCACAAGCTTCTATGAAAAAAATGGTGTCTAACCAAGTTATTTCATTTGGTTCTGTTCTTGGGTTTGACTCGACAGAATCTGGTGAGCTTTCTTTTAAATCTAGCACCCAAGCTGCTAAGATACAAAGTCATAGGGCCACAAACTTATAGCCCTAATTATCACACTGGTATATGTGGTACCAATGTTAACCATGATAAAGTCTATCCAGAAAAGAAAAGGCTAAAGGTTCAATCAAAACAAGCTTTGAAATAATGAACCTGGAAGAATAGGAACTCAACCTAGTTGAAACCCCAAGAACAAAAAACAGATTTCAAGAGTAAAAACCAATGTCAAAACCTTAAAAGACAAACTCATGATCACCCTACCAGAATCTGGTGAGCTTTCTTTTAAATCTAGCACCCAAGCTGCTAAGATACAAAGTCATAGGGCCACAAACTTATAGCCCTAATTATCACACTGGTATATGTGGTACCAATGTTAACCATGATAAAGTCTATCCAGAAAAGAAAAGGCTAAAGGTTCAATCAAAACAAGCTTTGAAATAATGAACCTGGAAGAATAGGAACTCAACCTAGTTGAAACCCTAAGAACAAAAAACAGATTTCAAAAGAGTAAAAACCAATGTCAAAACCTTAAAAGACAAACTCATGATCACCCTACCAGAAATGACCGCCAGAAAGACAAGATTCAAGAGAATGTTGCTCATAGGTCAAGGGGGAAGTCTGGACAACCTCCTAAGCAGAGAGTCAACCATCGCTCAGATACCACTTGTTGATCATTGTGCTTACTGTTACACTAAAAACAATCGCTAATAGGGTATATCACGTCTCCCCCCTTTATAGAATAGGCAAAGTGCGCGCTACATTTTGATTGCATTGGTAGACTGGCAGATTGCTGGCACCGCATACCGCGGCCCATCAACTTCCTCTCATTCTAGCAATCCTAAACTTATACAAAAAAAACTACCTGTTTGTCACCAGTTTTGACAAAAAAAAAATACTCAATGGAAACAAAAAAAATTAACAATAACAACTAAAAAAAACTTCCAAATCCTAGCCACTCGTTCATTCCATGGCGGCGGTTCAAGAGGGGGACAAACCAATAGCACTTCACTTCTGGCCACCTTCAAGATCAATTGATTGCAGGTCTGATCTAGATCATCATGCTCACCTTGCATCTTAATCATCTTGATTGCTGCTGCCTAGGAATGCCTACACCCTTCCATCGGAACCCGCTGCTTCAACGCCGTGCGAATCTTATTTCTACAACTTGCGAACCGAGGTCTGCCCCAAACGCTGAAGAAATACTGCCCTAACCTGCGTATATAACCTCCTTCTTCAACCTTTGTCTTCAACCTCCCTAGCTCCCCCTTACTATTCTGAACAACATCGCCGTGGAGAGGTTTAACGTAGTCGTCCGCCAACATCTACGTTAGACACGCTAGGTCTTCCGCTAACCCCAAGAACTTTATCAATTATGATGAATAATAATACGAAGTAACTATTAGTTATTAGTTATACTAATACAAAGTAACCTTTAGGAACTCTTTTATAGAATAATCTCAAAAGTTATTACTGAACACTATTTAAAAAAAATTAACTAAACTTATAAGTTAAGAAAAATGAACTTGGAAAATCAAACCAAAATAAATAGAAGGAAACAACTTATCAATGTGTTTTCATAACGAATTAGCTTATAAACTTATAAGTTTCTTAATGCATAGCACTTTCATAACAATATGCAACAACATTGTACTACATACTACGAATAGTATTTTCTCACAAGTATTTTATCCTTAAAAGCCGTCGTACTTGGCTATATATTCAACTTAGGCAAGTACCTCTACACATAAATTGAATCATTCATAATCCGTATTTGAGACGTACCGCAAATATTTGCAATTGATTTTACTTCAAAAAACATAATTTAAAATTATTTTTGAGAAAACATTTAATAGTAAAAATTGATAATGTATAATAAAAATAAAATTTATAGTTGTTGGTATAATAGAAAAATGAAAAATAGATTAGAAAATTCATACAAGAGATTTCAACTTTTAAGTTTAATAAAGTGTTTAATTTAAATCAAATTTATTCCTGGAAAATGTTAATTCCAGCTTTCATAAATAAAAAAACCGCAGAACATTCTTTTTCAAAATTTGCAAACATTCGCATATACTGATTATACTCTCAATTATTCCTGGTTTAATACGGAATATTTAAAAAACAAAAGAATGACATAAAAAGGAAAGAGGGAGACATCTGTAACACGTGTTTTGGTCATTTGGTGGACCAACATTGGCTACACGTGGCAGACGGTGGTACGGCGACGTGTAGAACCTTCCACGTGATGGACTCACGGACGGACCTAAACGAAACAGAATTGTTCTATTACACACCAACCACCCTAAATTCCTGAGATTCACACCCATGCCACCCTCCATCACTCCATCAGTAGTAGTAGTAGTAGACCAGTAGGGCACAAAAAGCTTGGATCTTTGTGTTCATTACAGCTTCAATTTGCCAAAAATTGCAGAATCATCGAAGCCCCCACTGTCTTTTCGATCCACCTTTTCTACTTCTCGGAGTGATCACTGGCCAATAAAGCCCAAGAACTAATCTTCAAACAACATTTGACTTTGTCCCATAATCATTATTTCTTTTCTCTTCACTTTGGGTTCAAAAGCCATCTGGGTCTGGAATCTCTTTGCCCAAATCATCATAAACCCTACCAGCTTTGTTAAAAAAATTAAATCTTTGGGTTTTCCTATTTTCTTTTCTTTGAGATCAATTGAGTAAGCAACTTCTGCTCATTCTTGGTTTTGAATGCATACATAGTTTGCTTGATCTTTGGGAGATTTTGCTATAACTCAACTTTTGCTCATTCGGTGTGCATAGACCTCAGCAATGGATGCCCTGTGTGCTTCTACCATGAAGGCTAATGTACACCAAGTTCCAAATTCAAGGAAGTTTGGCTGTGGGGATAGTGGATTTTGGGGTGAGAAGATCAGGGGAAGCTTTAAACATAGAGGCATTAGTGTTAATAAATCCGAGATCCATGAGAGAAGTTCTAAGAAAGTTAAGCCTGGAGTTACCTACTCTGTGCTGACTCAGGACATTAACAAACAATTCCTGGTATGTAGATTCACTCACTGATCAAATTCTTTTATTTATTTATTTATTTATTTATTGAATCCAATCATATGAGGATTTAGGTTTTGGGATCTATATATCTGAAGTAAAGGTTAATATTTGTTTCAGTCATTTGAGACACAGAATTTTGAAGATCAGCCAGAGGCTGACCCAAGAAATGTAGCCTCCATCATCCTGGGCGGTGGTGCTGGGACCCGGCTTTTTCCGCTTACAAGAAACCGAGCTAAACCAGCTGTAAGATGTTTATGATGTTATCATTAGGAGTTTACGCAATGAGTTGAGTCTATTATATTGGAAAGTGTTCATTTGCTCTGCTATCAAGATATTTGCTCTGTTTATATTGGAAAGTGTCTAAAAGATCCATTATTATGTAGTAGTAGTCAAGGATTTTACGTATGAGTTTGTTGTTGTGTAGGTCAATCCTCAGAAGTAGTAGCAGTCTAAGCTTTTATATGTTTGTTTGTTATCTTATAGATCAATTGTATGGTAGTGCTAGTCCAAGATTTAGTGTGTATTTGTCATTCCAGAGTTCAATTTCATATGTTGGTTTGTTGTTTATAGCCTTATAGGCCAATGTTATTTTATAGGCCAAAATGATATTTGTTGGTTTGTTATTTCATTAGTATTTAGTTTAAGTGAGACACTCTTAAACAATTTTGCAGGTTCCTATGGGTGGTTGCTACAGGCTTATTGATGTACCAATGAGCAACTGCATCAACAGTGGGATCCGGAAAATCTTCATCCTTACCCAATTTAATTCCTTCTCCCTCAATCGCCATATTGCAAGAACATACAGCATCGGAAATGGAGTCAATTTCGGCGATGGATTTGTGGAGGTGTGATTAGTCTCGTGCTTATCGTATGGAGTTCTTAACTTTAAAATCTGTATCTTTGTATGTGCTGCTACCGTCCAATTTCGGTCCAACAATTGTTGTTCTATAGTTTTAAAGATTGTTTCTGCCTAGTAGGGGGTTAATCAGGATTGGGTGAAATTTAGCAATTTAAGCGGCTAAAGGAGATTTTTTGCTTATGTAGGTTCTAGCTGCCACACAAACGCCAGGAGAAGCGGGGAAAAGGTGGTTTCAAGGCACTGCTGATGCAGTAAGGCAAAATATATGGGTGCTTGAGGTGTGTGATGCCGTTATGCATATAATTCTTTTTGGCGTTAACATTATGCTTGTTTACAAGGAAATATTTTCCTCGTAAATGTTTTCAGACTTTCCAGCTTTCCAGGAAAACTTTTTCTAAGAAAGTCAAATACTTTCCTGTGTATTGTGGGTCAGACATTATTCTATAAATAGAAGTAAAGAACATATTTTTCAGGAAAACATGCTCCTCCAGGGTTCGCTTAGAATGCATAAAATGCTAGGGAAAGAAAATAGAGAGGAACTGTAGGAGAAATTTGGAAGAAAATGCTGAGAAAAATAAGACTGGCTCAAAGTGAATGAATTTATTTGCAATTTTGTTCAAATTCATTTTTATTATGTAACTACGCAGCAATCTATGCATATGTAATTTTTAAAATTTAATTAATAATCATTTTTCCTTTTTCATTTTCTACAGTAAATTCAAACATAAGAAAGTAAATTTCATACCGTTCTTTCTTTTCATGAGCACTTTTCGAGATCCAAAAATATCCCTAAATTTTCTTCAATAAGTTATTTTCCTTGAAACAGCTGGAGCCTAAGAGAGGTACGAGAAGATAATTGAGTTTCTTGTCTTTTAATTGTTCAGGATTCTAGGAACAAGAGCGTGGAGCATATATTAATTTTGTCCGGTGATCATCTTTACCGGATGGACTATATGGACTTTGTTCGGGTATGGCTTCACTATTTCATGACAAACTGCATTTACTCTTCCTGTATTTTCCATGTATTTTGAGACCAACGCTTCTTGATTATGGGACTTGTACATGTAGAAACATGTTGAAACTGGTGCTGATATCACGGTTTCTTGTGTGCCCATGGATGACAGGTTTGTGGTTGAATTTTATCTGGAAGTTTATATTTTTGTTCCATTCCACTTATTGAAGATATTTAGACCAAGTATAATTCTCTTATGGAATAAGGTTTGGATGTTGTTGTTGTTGAGTTTATTTATAACATCTTGTTTATCAATCTCTTTTTCGTTCTTTTATGCAGCCGTGCTTCAGATTATGGGTTGATGAAAATTGATGCAAACGGGCGTATTGTACAATTCGCCGAGAAACTTAAAGGGCCTGCTGTCAAAACAATGGTACAGAATTACATAACCTAGTGCTAAGCACCATCTTTTTGTAATAAATTCTAAACCTCGCATTTTCTTCCAAATGCCCAATTTGACCTTATGAATTTTAACAATAACCTTGATACCCTGAAAAGACCAAATTGGCTCAATGACCTGTTACATAAAGAAATTTGTAAGCAATTTCATCTACAAGTAAACAAATTAAATCCAAAAAGTTAGCTCAAATCGTAGTTAAACCTGCGTTTATGCTGTTTTTTTTTGTTTTTGCAACTTGTTAGTTGCAATCGGGTATGTCTATTTTTTTTTAGCGCATCCATAAGACTTTTCTGAAAGTCAAGGTCATTACTGAGTAAAAGAATTTGATTTTGGTCTGGTCACTTGTTAGCCATTCTCATTTTTTATCCACTTTTGGTCCGTTATGGCCACTTATCCGGCGACAAGCAACCAAAGTTTGATCGAATAAGTTGCCGGTAAAAGCATAAGTGACAAAAGAAATTGAAGTGTTGGATCACAAGTGGAAAACCGAAAGTTCGGGACCAAAATTGGGATAACCTAATACATGTGTGACCAAAAGTGTATTATTTTCTTAGCGAGTTACTCTACTTAGTTCATGGGATAGAAGTCCATCTAATGTTCAGGTCAAACACATTTTTGTTTTGTTTAAAGTTTATGGTTGTTTTGGGTTCTTAGATTTTTTTCTTTCACAAGTAGCCTCCTTAAGTCCTTAAGTATCCTAGATTCCAGTTCCATAATTTGTTTTGTATTGCAGAGAGTTGACACATCCATCCTAGGGCTTTCTGATCAAGAGGCTAAGAAATACCCTTATATTGCGTCCATGGGTGTATATGTTTTTAGAACCCAGGTTCTATTAGATCTTCTAACGTCACAACACCCTTCATGCAATGATTTTGGCTCAGAAATCATCCCTGCTGCAGTCAAGGACCGTAATGTCCAAGTAAGTGTCACATATCACGATATACAGTTGCCCACAATACTTTTGACTGTTTTGCCCAACTAATTATTATGCTTTTGTTTATCAGGCATATTTGTTTAGTGATTACTGGGAGGACATTGGGACAGTTAAGTCTTTCTTTGATGCGAACTTAGCCCTTACCGAGCAGGTTTTTTCCTATTATCTCTATAACTATATGGAACATATCGAGTTAAAAGTTATAGTATAGATTACAACATTTGAATTTTCACTGAAAGTTTACTATTTAGACTTGAGGATATTGGGTTGTTGTTGTTAAACCCGGTCGGATCCTTTATGAAATGGGTGGACTAACAAAAAATTTTGCCAGAAAAGCTATTTCAATAGCAGCATCGAAATGCTGACAAACCCAATTCATTATTTCGGAGATAGAATAGAAGATATCACTCTTGTGAATCTTTTATATTGGTCTGTTATATCATATTCAGCTCAAGTGAGACAAACTCTTCAGTTTTTACTCTTGATACGTGTAGATATTTATGAGTTCATAATCTTTTGCAGTCTCCTGTGTTTGACTTCAATGACCCAAAGTCTCCTTTCTACACCTCACCAAGATTCTTACCTCCTACGAAGGCTGACAAGTGCAAGGTATGGCATCGCCTCTTACCTGGGACTTCCATGACAGGGCATACCTATTACCTAACATAAAGCCCCTACATTGTACGAAGAATGGGTATAAAGCACAATAAAATAGTAAACTATCATATATTAATGTTGCAATAGTCATGTTTGAGTATGTATCTGTGTAAGTAGAAGTCAGCTAGTCAGACCTATCAGGCCGAACCAACCACTGATATTTACTAATTTCTTTTCTTTGGGGGTTCAGATGGTGGATGCTATAATCTCACATGGTTGCTTCTTGGGGGAGTGTACTCTTAAACACTCCATAGTCGGTGTACGGTCACGATTAGATAATGGCGTGGAACTTGAGGTACCCTTCCATATCAGTTTCATTTTCTTTCTTGTTAAGTTTTCATGATGCTCTTAATCACTATTGTGTGTCCAGCGTCCTAATAATTTGGCATGTGAAATAAGATGGTTTTTAGAGGACACTTTTCATTGTTTGTGTATAGATAAGCTACAACTGGACAGTTTATTCCTGCTTTATGGGGATTAAGTGGGTAAATGTTTCAGGATACAATGATGATGGGTTCAGACTACTATCAGACAGAGGCAGAGATTGCTTCTCTATTAGCTGACGGGAAGGTTCCTATTGGGATTGGCGCAAACACCAAAATTAGGTAGGTGAATCCACATGGTCATAATAATTACCACTCGTGATGCATCAAGAATTCGTTATTAGATATACCCTAATTCTAGGGTAAATCTAATGTTCTGAAATTCGCAAAGTTCAAGTGACTGGTTGGAGCCTAGCACCTTGACGAGGATTTTAAGAACTGGGAATAAAATTACATTCAATATTGTGCAATAGTTTGACTTTCCCGTTTGGTTACACACATTGACAATCTATAATTACCACTCGTGATGCATCAAGAATTCGTTATTAGATTTACCCTAATTGTAGGGTAAAACTAATGTTCTAAAATTCGCAGTTCAAGTGACTGGTTGGAGCCTAGCACCTTGACGGGGATTTTAAGAACTGGGAATAAAATTACATTCAAAATTGTGCAATAGTTTGACTTTCACATTTGGTCACACACATTGACAATCTATAAATTTAAATGCAAGCACACAGGAATTTTATGCGAGAGAAATTAAAACGTCTTATCTAATATGATTTGTTTTTATGCCGTAGTCAGACTAAGGTGTGTGAATAGTGTAAAAGTCAAAATGTCGGGATTTATAAAGGAGAAGTACTTCCTAACATTATTGTCAAGGTTTTAAGGTTGAGACTCATATACTTATGCACTTATGTGGTCGAATATTAAATTGGATCTAACTCTCTCCAAGCGAGCTGCCCAAATTATTGGATGGCAAACAAACAAGCCACAATGGGACTATACTTTGATACCATATCTAAACTCAGTGCTAATCATATTTTAGGTCCATTTTTTTTATACAAGAGATAATGATTGTTTATCTATACTTTTGCTTCTCCAATTCACATGTAAAGTGATGTGACATCATAACTCAGAGACTTGCGATGAGTGTAGTTGAAAAACTGTCCGATTTATACATTGAAGATGCGATGATTTAATGATAGTTTACTAAGTGTTGTTTCACGTTTCGTGACCAGAAATTGCATCATTGACAAGAATGCCAAAATAGGAAAAGACGTGGTTATTGCAAACAAGGATGTAAGTATATTCATCCGCTGCTATTATTTAGTTTAGGTTCTGTGTGGTGAATCTGCTTATCATCAGAATAATTGAACTGAATATGATTAATTTCTGACTTATTTAGCTGAAATGAATGTTACCATCCATTGTTAGCCAAATAACCCTTACCAAACTATCCAATGACTTACCCAAACATATTTGTAATCCTCTTGCTAAACTCAAAACCGGCTATTGCACATTGCAGGGAGTTGATGAAGCAGACAGGGCAGATGAAGGTTTTTACATTAGGTCCGGGATCACGATCATTCTGAAGAACGCAACTATCAAGGATGGGACCATCATTTAAGAAAGCCTCACCTAAAAAGTTCATTTTTCCTTCTCAAACTATTCTCAAGACTGTCATTAGGACTTAGGAGTTAGGGGATGATATATAAATAAATAGATGTGTAGTCCAACTATCGATATAAGTTAATCTTTTAGTTGAGACAGAACACATCCTTCAGTTCAGTTCAATACTCAAATGATAGACATGTTTGTATATATTTCATAAACAAAGCGATAGACCCACAATTATTTGTTTCTTTATTAATCTGTGTGTGAATTTATTGTGTTAGTTTCTTTTTCATCTTCTTCCATTGCCAACAAGATTGCTACTGTCATGGTTTTCTCTTGCAAGCCCACTCATATTTTCCTTCTTCCACTCCATGTTTTTAAGCCCGACGGGCATCTTATGCAGTTTGCTCAGCTTGGATGACTGATGATTGATGATGTCAGCTGTTGTGGGACTCTCGCTGAAGACGATTGCATAACCATCCTGGTAACTTTCCATGCCTTCTGGAAACAGCTGCCAGAACAAGCTGCCAGCCGCTGCACCCCCGCCTTTAGCGGAGGAGTAAATGTCCGAGTAAACGGTGTTCATCAGCTTGTCCCGCTTTGCAACGGTGAACCCGGGATCTGTCTTGCTCTTTCCAAACTCCGATAAGATCATAGGCTTCTTAAGAATGTTTTGCGCGTCCTCAATATGGATGTCAATCCACTTTCTCAGAAATGAGAGTTGATCTTCATCACTCGTTCCATTCAACCTCCATACACACCACATATAAAGTTCAAAATGAGAGAGAATTAGATCAATTCTATAAATTTACAAAAATACAAATCTCATATCTCAGACAAGAACTGGTCTAAATTGGTGCAGGATTCTACAAAATAGGACATGAACCATTCATTTTTTCTAACAGGAACCGATACCAAGCTGGGAGTAGAACAGAATTGGTTTATTCAAGCGATTTGCGGTTTTGTTATTACATTTAAGTTGAATGTCAGCCCGAAACTGGCCGATCCGGATTTAAATCGGATTGGAATGTGCTCGGGTCCGAACCAGAGATCTTTATACTAAAAATATGTGAAAGTGAACTTACATACCACACATCGGCATAAGCGTGAGCAGTGGTGAAATCGATCTCGGGAATTTGATTATTGGCAATGAAATCAGTCCCAAATTGAGAGCCGCTAGTCACTCCCTGGTTTTTTTCAGCATTTGATGGCCCATAAAAGCCTTCCAGTCCAACTTGTAGCAGATGCTTATTGTCGATGGATTTCACATAGGCAGCCATTTCTTTGATCCAATTCTGGTAAAACAAACATAGGAAGTTCATGCATTGGGTCTTTTGGTGGGAAAAGTTCTTTTTTTCTGCTAATCAATTCTAAATTATATAGTTTTGTCTTAAGAGTTAATTTGATTCTAAAGTGCAATCTTACTACTCTTCTCTCCTCTAAAAAATTTCCTATTTTTAATAGGTAATTCTTGGTATACACATAATTTGTACACAAATTGTACATTGCCTGTGGACATTTTAGGCAACTAATGGGGTTGTGTACAATTTGTGTATTAAGTTTGTGTACAACAAGAATTTTTATTTTTAATGACACATATATTAATAAAATATTAAAATATTAAGTTTTTCTTTGACTTCCTAAAATTAAGGGTGGACTCGGTTCGGGACGGGCCCGGTTCGGGCCTTGAACCGGCCGGGCCTCGGTTCAAGGTAGGGGAGGCCCGGAACCGGCCCGGGTAACCCCCGGGTCCGGTTCGGTCCGGGCCGGGCCCGGTCGGTTCTATATAATTTTTTTTTTGGGTTTTCCTAATCAACCCCCTACCCTCCCCCTCAACCCCAAACCACCTCAAATGGTCCAAAATACCCAATCCAACCCAAAAACTTAAAAAAAATTCAAAAAAAAAATTAAATCCGGCCCGGACCGGGCCCGAACCGGCCGGGCCGGTTCACCAAAATGAAGGCCCGAGCCCGGAACCGGTAGCCACCGGGCCGGGTCGACCCGAACCGCCCATGGGCCGGGCCGCCGGGCCGGGCCGGTTCAAACAGTGACCGGGCCGGTTCCGGTTCGGGCCGCCCGGCCCGAGTCCACCCCTACCTAAAATGCACCTCTTAGTAATGGTGATCATTCACTTGAAATACACTCTGTTAACGTTTCACTAGTACTTTGACGCTAGTCTTATAACAATAAGAATCTTTTTATCAAATAAAAATGACTATTAATTAGGAATACACTAGTACAAAAACTGTCTATTGTAGCTGACGTGCACTTTGTCGTGAGTGCACTCAAAATAAATACAATACAACAAATATACGTAGTATATTGAAGTAAGGTTCGTATCCGCAGGGAAAGGAATACTTCTCTTTTTATAAACTAATTAATAAAGGGGGGTTTTGATTGAGTGATTTAATTAAAATTGAACACGAAGATGAACGAGTTATGTGGTTTAATTTAAAGATAAAAGAGACTTGGTATTGCTACTTTACACTTGTTGATATATTTTAGTCGATCATTGTTATATCTATAACTTATCTCCTCTCGAATACTCAATCGAGGAGTATATCCAATTCATCGAGGATAGTTATTAACAACGACCGTTCATTAATAACCCTTACTATTAGTCAAGTATAGAACAAGCGCCGTATACCGACTTGATAGTAGCATTTAATCGCTTAACTCCTTGATGAAATCAATTGAGATCGATAACCTCAACACAAGCGGTTTTGGTTTAACCAACACAATTAATTCCTCTTAGGTCTATTAACCACAACCGTGCATTAATAAACCGAAGTTACTTACTTGTGAAACCATCAACGATTACCATTGGTTCGTTGATCGTATCTAGTAGTAATTAATATATGAAACAAAACTAGTTGATCCTTTAAGTAATGTTCAAAATATTAATATGAAATATGAATAGGAATTAATTAATACTCAAGGAAGAATATTAAAGGGAATGGATCCAACTATAGTTAAATATCAAGATGTTAACTAATTGTCATCTTAGTAACACTCCCCGATATTAACATAGAGGAAGGAATAGCTATTACTAAAACCAATATCAAGATGTTAACTAATTGTCATCTTAGTAACACTCCCCAACATTGATATAGAAATAGTATTTAAAGGAAGAATTAATATTCAAGGAAAAGAAGTTAAGAAAATAACTCACAACTTTACTAATCAACAAGCTTCAAGAGCAATACCAAGAAATGGAAGTTTAGCTCCTCATTTGGAGACTAAACGTGCTAAAAGAAATATAAGAAATGCTATTCTAAACTGAGCTTAAGAGTGTATATGAATTGGTGATCTAAAAGTGAAGGAAAGGAGGTGTATTTATAGGCTTTTTGAGGTGCAGGTCGAGTACTCGATCGAGTATATATACATACTCGATCGAGTATGTGTAGAACATCGAATTCGTTCCATACTCGATCAATACTCGGGTAGTTTTTATAGCTATACCCGATCGAGTACATAAGTATACCCGATCGGGTATAGACACTCGAACGTGGAAAATCTTCTCCTGCATGTTCCTTTGTTTTCGGATCCGATCCGATTTGAAATGTCAACCAGATACCCGATCGAGTATATGTGTATACTCGACCGAGTATAGACCAAAATCAGGATTTTTCCTTCTTTTTGTCTTGTAATCTTGCACCTTCCTTCACCATTGATCATTTGATTGATCTTGGACCTGTTTAAGCTCAGAATAAACCTAATCTAAACAAATTACAAGAATTTAACAAACTAAACTATTACACCGAAAGTGTGTAATTTCCGAGATATTAAACAATCAAAACTAACTAAAAACGTAAATAAACATACGGAAATTACAAACGTATCAACTCCCCCACACTTAGTTCTTTACTCGTCCTCGAGTAAAGTCAAATGTTTCAAACAGTTTAAGATCATTCCATGAGTTCAAGAAAGAAAGGAACAAAGATCACCAAGGAATAAAAATGATTTTCACAAACAACATTCTCTCTTGGGTTTTATGATCTTCTATGCTCCATCTTCTTGTCTCTTCTTCCTTTTCTTCTCTTTTTCTCCTCTTAGAGATCAAATGAGTTCCTGCACACAGAAAAAGGTTTTTCTCTCATATCTCTCATTTTGCCTAGGAGCCTTTTCAGGTTTTCATCCTAGCATCTCTTTTTGTTTTTCCATCCTTTCCAAACTCACTCATTTATTTTTTTTATAAGCCATTTTTGCTTAGATTGCCCATTCTTGGGTTTTCAACCTAACTAGCATTTCAATTCTTTTATTTATTCTTTTTTTTTTTTTTTGTTTACAAAGAGTAAAAGAACTTCATGCATAGTAAAAGGTAGAAAATGAAATTACATACCATGAGTAATCTCCTCCCCCACACTTAGTTGAAGCACTGTCCCTAGTGCCCGCCTTCTCCACCGTAGTAACTGCCTCCAAAGCCGCTGCCGAAGCCTCCTCCAAAGTTCCCGTCTCCCATGTGAGTGTCCCCGCCGTCCCCACCATCAAAACCTCCACCCCCGGAGCTAGATCCTCCAAAATTACCCCATTGAGTGGGGTCATACCAAGAGGGGGGTGGTGGTGGTTGAGCCATGGTGTGGAATTGGCCTTGATGAGCCATGTAAGAGTACATAGGTCCATAGAACCTACGTTGATCCTCTTCATACCGTCGGTTGTCTGCGGCCCTTTGCTCTTCTATTCTTTGAAATCCCGCCATCTGTTCTTCCCGATACTTACCAACTTCATTGGTAACTCTCTCGAACCCGTCAAGTAATTTTTGGAAGTAATCGGTGGGTGGTGGGGCTTGGTTGTATTCGAGCATCGGGTGAGGTGCATCCTCGGGTTCTTGGTGCTCTTGTTGCTCTTGGTCGTGTTGATCTTCGGGGGGGTTTTGGGCGTCGGGTTCTTGGAGATGTGGTGGAAGGGCGTGAGGGAATAAGTAGTGAGGTTCCTCGAACTCCGGTTTGTAGCGTAGTTTGGGGGTGTCCGGGCTTGGCATTAGGAAATATTGGACCGGTTGGGTGTGTATGATCCAATTATACATGTTCTTCGGTTGGTCCCCAATATATACCGTATGGGAAAAAGAGGTGCATCCCGAGCGGCCTAACCAACCTATGTCCATCAAACAATAGTCGGGTATAGGAGAGTTATCCGTATACCCGAACTTGCTTGCCAAGTGCATAATTACCCCACCCATGACAATGGCACCTTTGGCCATGCTTTCCTTTTTTAGATGTGCCCAAATGAGATTACATAGATTGAAGTCTACGTGACGCCGGA